TGTTTTAATAAATGTGCATGGTGAATTAAGATAATTTGTAACTAAAGGCAAGTTGTGAAAGAGATGGGCCTGGAGGGCCAGGTGACTGGTCCACAGGCATCAAAGAAATGGGACAACCTGAAAACAAAATACAAGGTAAAGCAAATCACATGGATGGGCACTGTGGTGGGTTAGTGTTTGTAGATATTATGCTACAGACTTAAACTGGCGACCCCAGCCTCCTATATTAAAATGTGAATTTGCTTAGTTGTTTACACTTGTTAACATTTAAGGCGTAAGCAATTACACATTTAGAATTAGTACAATGTTTCGTTTGGTGTGCATTTAAATACTAACTAAACACTCATATACTAACAAAGGACTGGCTTATCTAAAGCCAGTTGAGTAGCACTTGAAATGTTTTGGCTCTATGAAACCTAATGTACTTATATGATTCTGTTTTCTTCAAGTTTGTATCTTCTTGGTCGAATGCACTTATTGTAAGTCGCTTTGGATACAAGCGTCAGCTAAATGCAATGCAATGTAATGTAATGTAATGTGATTTTGCCCTCACTGCCTTTTAACTAACAGTCTGTTATCTGTGTTGTCAATAGGAGTTAAAGAATCCCCCAACTGGGACAGGAACAGACGGGGGAGAGGCCTCAGCAGCTACCTGGCCATGGTTTGAGGCTATGCATGACGCAATTGGGGGAAGGCCATCAATTCAGCCTCCCACCCTAGTTGCCTCATGCCCGTTGTCAAGCCATGGCCAGACTGCTGCTGAGCCCTCCACCTCTGCTGAGGAAGGGCCTTCTCAAGTTTCCCTCAGCAGTGAGGAGGAACCCGTGCCCTCCACCAGCTCCCAACCACCTCCTAAAAGGCCAAGGCGGAGAAGCAGCGTTTTGGCCTTCCTGAAAAAGCAGGCAGAGAAGGACGAGGCCCGTGACAAAGCGCTCTATGAGCAGAATGAGCGACTTGTAAATTGAATTGCAGAGCTTGTGAAAAAAAAATAACAATAAATGTTTAACTTGTTGAAAACACTAAAGTGGAGTTCTTCAGTTGATGATTTGGATAACACTCAGAAACAGTGCTTCAATAAACAAGCACCACATGTTATAGCAGCTTTCTCAAATACAATACAACAGTTACTTTCAACAATATTTGTGCTATAAATGCTAAATAATGACTGTTGTGTAATGACAAACACTACATGCAAAATGACAGACCCACTCCAGTGAAATATATCAGCCAAATGTTTATTTAACAACCATAAACTTGCCTCAGAGGGCTTTCTAATGTGTACAGTGTACGACACCCTCTGTCCTTAGACCCTTGCAGCCAATGAGGAACAACTCCCAAAAAAAACAACCTTTTAACAGGGGGAAAACATGGAAGAAACCTCAGGGAGAGCAACAGAGCAGGGATCCCTCTCCCAGGACGGACAGACGTGCAATAGGTGTCGTATGTACAAATAAACATGACAAAAATAAAACATAACGGGGTGAACATCAACGAAAAAGATGGAGCTTACAGATGTAGCAGCTTATTTCAGACTCCAGCTTACAGCTTCCTGCCTGCTACCTGCCAGCTACCTGCCTAAGACCAGCATCTGGGAATGTTAAGCCCTCCCACTATTTTCCAAGAGGGCGTTGCCAGATTTTCAATTTCAGGATTTAACCAGGAGATGGCGCTTCATTCACAAATACAGAAAGACAACTTTTCATGGACTTTCAGTTTTGTTTAGAAGAGCATTTGAACACATCAATATTTTAGATCAAATAAAGTATATCTAATCTTGTAATTCAATAATATATAGTCTTTATATATTAAATAATCATAATAATAATGTAAATGTTTACATTACACTTCTTTATTTGTCATGCGGTCTACCTACGCTGTAAAATGTATTATCTCTTCGATTTACACACGGCATCTATTGCACTTCTGTCCATCCTGGGAGAGGGATCTCTCCTCTGTTGCTCTCCCCAAGGTTTCTCCCATTTTTCCCTTTGAAATGTGGGTTTTTCTCCGGAAGTTTTTCCTAGTACGATGTGAGGGTCTAAGGACAGAGGGTGTCGTTTCCCCATACTGATATTCTGAACAAACTGTGCTGTTGTATTTGCTGTAAAGTGTCTTTACTGTAGGGTATTTTTATTATATGTACAGCACTTTGGCTCGACCAAAAATCGTTTAAAAATGTGCTATATAAATAAAACTTGATTTGATTTGATGCTCATACTTTTACCTTTACAATCGTTTGCTTTAATATGCAGTATATTTTTTGTATATTTTTGTGTTTGCTTCCTCCTGCTCCCTTTGACACATACTGTATGATTTATTATTATTATTAATATGAAGATATTATTAAGATAAGATAAGATGTTACTTTATTGATTGAACATTTTAGTTTAGAATGTGCTATCCCACGGTAATTCAGAAGGCTCACAGGTCACATTCCGACCATTATTTAAAACAATGGGTGCTTTCATAATAATGATGAGAAACTATGAAATAAGACATGAATCTAATTAAAATGTAATTATCATATCATATATTATATAGTGTATTGTATTATTAAGTAATATCATACATTAACCCCATTATAGCAGATGCCACATTGAATGGATGAACACATTTATGCATCAATAATTACAACAGAGTATTTCTAAATACAAGTTGTAATCTAATCCTCTTATTTTACACAATTGACAGACAGTGTTATTTGTATGTCAATAGTCATATATTGTCATAACCTTTTTGTGTGAAATAATTAATATTATTATTATTTACGCCCACTGTTTGGCGAGCTGCATGAGAAACTGACGGGCTGTCAGGAGAGAGAGAGAGGGAGAGAGGAAAAGAGAGGATCCGTTTCTCCCGTGTTATTATCCAAAGTTAATGTAAACTTTTGAATAATGTCCTTATTATTATAGTGATGAACATTAAAAACAAAGCACGTTGGCTGATTTTGGACCCCCTCACTATTTGTTTTCACTACTTTAATTAAATGTTTGATAAGTGCATGCAGATCACAGTACAGTATGCTCGTTCAGTAAAACACGTACACAGATAAATTATTTTGTATTCCAAAAATCAGGAAGTAAAGTCCCCTGGTTTGTGACAAGATGTGAAGTCAACAGATAGTCACTCAGAGTGGGGTACTATTTCTTTTCAAATGCATATAGGCAATGCCATTCATTTACATGTAGGCAACACTGCCCTTCCAGTCAAGAATTTGAATTTGAATCGGATGGGGAGACGTGTGTGATTAAAAATGAGTGGCCAAACTAGGACTTCGTTTTTCAAAAGAGAAAATGCAGATATTACACTCAGAAAAGAAATGGTAGACATATCAGTACTCTTAGTGCCAAGTTGTCTCAGACAATCTGCATTTCCTAATGTGGGACAGTTCTGTGCAAAATGTGGGACACTGAAAAGTCTATGTTAAAAAGCCTCAGTCACCTTAATGCCATGTTCAGCTATGTTACTATTTATAATGTTATTGTTGTTACAACAGAAGATGTTTTTCTTTATATTGAAGTTAAATGCATCAATCTGTGACACTTTTATTTTGTAAGATAGCAAGGGGGGGCATATTGTGATAACCAGGCCTGTCATAAAATGCACCCCACCCAAAAAGATGTTTGTATTAATCCCACCCTCAAGCATTTTTTAGGGTATAGTTGTAGGACTAGTACCAATGAATGGAGCAAGTTTCATGAATGTGAACAAGTTTAACCACAAGAATCAAGACTATATGAGCTACCACTAAACAACTCACAGTCTGAAAATTACCATTAATAAAAACCCTGAACGTTTACTTTTCGTTTTAAACATCGTTTTAAGGTGTAAACGTGTCATTTAGGAACTGCGACAGCATAAATATGCGAACACAAACCTACAGACTGCTGGAGAAGAGATATCACAGGGGGGGGTTGGGACACACACATTCCGATGGCCAATTAGTTTTAAACAAAGAGTATACTCAACATAGGCCTACAGTAGGCAGGGGGGTGGGGGCTGGTGAACGGTATGGTCAATGTTTGTAAACACAGTGACATTTTGACTTTATTTGATCATTTCAGTTAAAAACTAACGTTCATATTTGTCTTTTTGAGAAGAGCAATATGAATATGTTAGTGGCTGACCCAGCCCCATGGTCTGTCACAGTAGTGCGGGAAAGAGAAGTGCACTGTTTTGCCTGGCTGGACCTGTAATTTACAGGAAAGGAGTGCGCGCTACTAAAGAGACGCGCTACCATGGAAACCAAACAATGGTGTAGCTGTATTGAAGTCTGAGTGGAAACAGTAGCATTTGGAGCGTTATGTTTGAATGAAACAGCCAGGTCGTGACTCACAAAAAAAAAGTGTTACTTCACTAACTGTAAGCTTGTCACTCAGAGTAACCTCCGCTACGCGTCGGGATCCTGATCTGCCTGACAAGGCTCCATTAAAATATAAATATTTTTAGTGAATTACTGAGTTTAGGCACGTTAATAACGTTTTAATGAAGTTGAATACAGAATATTCATATTTGTCAGTGATTTCATGTCAATTCGGCGAACATAAACATAAATGATCGTGGTGAAGATGATGATTAAATTAGGATTAAAAATCGAGAGCCGGCTGCATTTCCTCTTGTTCGTTTTTTTTCGACTAAACAACATTATTTTGTTAAATAACAACATGGTGATGTTTTGTAAATGATTACATGTCTCTTATTTAGCACAGACTATGATCCTATCCGTGACATATGGATCTTAACAAAGATCCACTATACAGTAGTACCAGACATACTGGTATCTGTATCGAAGTTGATTTCACATGAGCTCCAGTGAGGAACCCCACTGCACCCCCTGGTGGATCAATGATCCATTGCAGCTGGCTTCACAATAATTACATTTATTTATCACGGGGGCGGTCTCAAGTCAGACTGGGGGCAGTCTCTTGATCACGGGCCGTTCACGGGCCATTCACGGGCCGACCACGACCTTCGCGTTTCAAACTGTCCTAAATTAGCTGCTACATCTGTAGTTGCTTCCAACTGGAAAATGCTGCTGCAGCAGTAGTAGCAACAATCCAAGCATGGCAACCTGCACCACAAGAGACACAATAACGTGCATTAGTAACATGTATTTATGGGGAATGATTGCATATTAAAAAAAATGAATGATGTAAGAAAGCCATTAATATAGTTACTATATAAGGAAATAATCATGGTCATTTAGGTGTGGAGGACGCTCATGTGGGGCTGACACGTGTGCTGCCAGTCTGTCCCTATAGTGCTGACCAGCATGTTCATCTCTCTGCACAGGTCCCTGTGGAGGTAGCGGCACTGGATCCTCTCCCTCAGTTGGCTCCAGGATGTCTCCAGCAGTGAGGCAGATGTTGTGGAGCACTGCACACACTGCTATCACCTTGGGGGAAAAGCTGTGATCCACTTCCAGGGCCTTGAAGAAGATCCCTCTCCACCGTGCCTTCATCATCCCAAAAGCCCTCTCCACAACCGATCGGGCTCTGGCATGGTGTCGGTTGAAGCGCGCCTGCACTCTACCCCTCAACGGTTCCTGGTACGGTGTGATGAGGTTAAGAGGTTCCCTCAGGCACGGGTAACCTCCATCCCCCACAATGTAATGGCCAGCTGGTGGGTAACAGCCCCTCACAAACACTGGACTGTTCCTGAGCACCCTGGTGTCGTGGACCGAACCAGGGTAGCCAACAAAAATGTCCAGGAATTTCATTTCATTTCATTTCACACCTTTATTTATCCAGGTTGTATCCCATTGAGATCATTGATCTCTTTTTCAAGGGAGACCTGCTCAAGTAGGTTCCACATGAAACATTAAAAACATAAACAGAACAACAAAAGGACATCATACAGTAGCATTACAGGGATTACAATTTACATACTATCCACATGCACAGGTACCAACAGCTTCCGATTCAGTAGCATCCAACCGAGCTTTAAAAACATTTAGTGGCACCAGATTGCTCAGTTTCCATTTTAATTGCAGACTATTCCAGGACAGTGGAGCTGCGCATCTAAATGCTATTTTCCCTAAGACAGTCCTAGCAGTTGGCACATTTAATAAAACCACAGCATGCGATCTCAGGCAGTAGCCACTTACAATTCGCCGTGAGATCAGGGAGCAGATGTAGGATGGAAGTTTCCCTAACATGGCTTTATATATAAAAATGTACCAGTGACTGAGCCTCCGTACAGTTAGTGAAGGCAAACCAGCCCTTGCATACAGGGTACAGTGATGAGTTAATGCTTTACAGTTTGTCACAAATCTCAGTGCACTGTGATACGCAGCATCTAACTTGACCAGGCAATTGGCAGGTGCATTCATATAAATCAGATCACCATAGTCCAGCACAGGTCAAAAGGTCACAGTGACTAGCCTTTTTCTGGCCTCGAGCGAGAAACAGGACTTGTTCCTGTAGAAGAAACCTAGTCTAACCCTCAGTTTTTTAAGCAGGTTATTGACATGACGTTTAAAAGTGAGACAATCATCAAGCCAGATACCAAGGTATTTGTAACAGGCAACCACTTCAAGTTTTATTCCTTGCGTAGTTAAAATATCTAAAACAGGCTCTGGTATCACACACTGCTATCACCTTGGGGGAAAAGCTGTGATCCACTTCCAGGGCCTTGAAGAAGATCCCTCTCCACCGTGCCTTCATCATCCCAAAAGCCCTCTCCACAACCGATCGGGCTCTGGCATGGTGTCGGTTGAAGCGCGCCTCCACTCTACCCCTCAACGGTTCCCGGTACGGTGTGATGAGGTTAAGAGGTTCCCTCAGGCACGGGTAACCTCCATCCCCCACAATGTAATGGCCAGCTGGTGGGTAACAGCCCCTCACAAACACTGGACTGTTCCTGAGCACCCTGGTGTCGTGGACCGAACCAGGGTAGCCAACAAAAATGTCCAGGAATTTCATTTCATTTCATTTCACACCTTTATTTATCCAGGTTGTATCCCATTGAGATCATTGATCTCTTTTTCAAGGGAGACCTGCTCAAGTAGGTTCCACATGAAACATTAAAAACATAAACAGAACAACAAAAGGACATCATACAGTAGCATTACAGGGATTACAATTTACATACTATCCACATGCACAGGTACCAACAGCTTCCGATTCAGTAGCATCCAACCGAGCTTTAAAAACATTTAGTGGCACCAGATTGCTCAGTTTCCATTTTAATTGCAGACTATTCCAGGACAGTGGAGCTGCGCATCTAAATGCTATTTTCCCTAAGACAGTCCTAGCAGTTGGCACATTTAATAAAACCACAGCATGCGATCTCAGGCAGTAGCCACTTACAATTCGCCGTGAGATCAGGGAGCAGATGTAGGATGGAAGTTTCCCTAACATGGCTTTATATATAAAAATGTACCAGTGACTGAGCCTCCGTACAGTTAGTGAAGGCAAACCAGCCCTTGCATACAGGGTACAGTGATGAGTTAATGCTTTACAGTTTGTCACAAATCTCAGTGCACTGTGATACGCAGCATCTAACTTGACCAGGCAATTGGCAGGTGCATTCATATAAATCAGATCACCATAGTCCAGCACAGGTCAAAAGGTCACAGTGACTAGCCTTTTTCTGGCCTCGAGCGAGAAACAGGACTTGTTCCTGTAGAAGAAACCTAGTCTAACCCTCAGTTTTTTAAGCAGGTTATTGACATGACGTTTAAAAGTGAGACAATCATCAAGCCAGATACCAAGGTATTTGTAACAGGCAACCACTTCAAGTTTTATTCCTTGCGTAGTTAAAATATCTAAAACAGGCTCTGGTATCACACACTGCTATCACCTTGGGGGAAAAGCTGTGATCCACTTCCAGGGCCTTGAAGAAGATCCCTCTCCACCGTGCCTTCATCATCCCAAAAGCCCTCTCCACAACCGATCGGGCTCTGGCATGGTGTCGGTTGAAGCGCGCCTCCACTCTACCCCTCAACGGTTCCCGGTACGGTGTGATGAGGTTAAGAGGTTCCCTCAGGCACGGGTAACCTCCATCCCCCACAATGTAATGGCCAGCTGGTGGGTAACAGCCCCTCACAAACACTGGACTGTTCCTGAGCACCCTGGTGTCGTGGACCGAACCAGGGTAGCCAACAAAAATGTCCAGGAATTTCATTTCATTTCATTTCACACCTTTATTTATCCAGGTTGTATCCCATTGAGATCATTGATCTCTTTTTCAAGGGAGACCTGCTCAAGTAGGTTCCACATGAAACATTAAAAACATAAACAGAACAACAAAAGGACATCATACAGTAGCATTACAGGGATTACAATTTACATACTATCCACATGCACAGGTACCAACAGCTTCCGATTCAGTAGCATCCAACCGAGCTTTAAAAACATTTAGTGGCACCAGATTGCTCAGTTTCCATTTTAATTGCAGACTATTCCAGGACAGTGGAGCTGCGCATCTAAATGCTATTTTCCCTAAGACAGTCCTAGCAGTTGGCACATTTAATAAAACCACAGCATGCGATCTCAGGCAGTAGCCACTTACAATTCGCCGTGAGATCAGGGAGCAGATGTAGGATGGAAGTTTCCCTAACATGGCTTTATATATAAAAATGTACCAGTGACTGAGCCTCCGTACAGTTAGTGAAGGCAAACCAGCCCTTGCATACAGGGTACAGTGATGAGTTAATGCTTTACAGTTTGTCACAAATCTCAGTGCACTGTGATACGCAGCATCTAACTTGACCAGGCAATTGGCAGGTGCATTCATATAAATCAGATCACCATAGTCCAGCACAGGTCAAAAGGTCACAGTGACTAGCCTTTTTCTGGCCTCGAGCGAGAAACAGGACTTGTTCCTGTAGAAGAAACCTAGTCTAACCCTCAGTTTTTTAAGCAGGTTATTGACATGACGTTTAAAAGTGAGACAATCATCAAGCCAGATACCAAGGTATTTGTAACAGGCAACCACTTCAAGTTTTATTCCTTGCGTAGTTAAAATATCTAAAACAGGCTCTGGTATCACACACTGCTATCACCTTGGGGGAAAAGCTGTGATCCACTTCCAGGGCCTTGAAGAAGATCCCTCTCCACCGTGCCTTCATCATCCCAAAAGCCCTCTCCACAACCGATCGGGCTCTGGCATGGTGTCGGTTGAAGCGCGCCTCCACTCTACCCCTCAACGGTTCCCGGTACGGTGTGATGAGGTTAAGAGGTTCCCTCAGGCACGGGTAACCTCCATCCCCCACAATGTAATGGCCAGCTGGTGGGTAACAGCCCCTCACAAACACTGGACTGTTCCTGAGCACCCTGGTGTCGTGGACCGAACCAGGGTAGCCAACAAAAATGTCCAGGAATTTCATTTCATTTCATTTCACACCTTTATTTATCCAGGTTGTATCCCATTGAGATCATTGATCTCTTTTTCAAGGGAGACCTGCTCAAGTAGGTTCCACATGAAACATTAAAAACATAAACAGAACAACAAAAGGACATCATACAGTAGCATTACAGGGATTACAATTTACATACTATCCACATGCACAGGTACCAACAGCTTCCGATTCAGTAGCATCCAACCGAGCTTTAAAAACATTTAGTGGCACCAGATTGCTCAGTTTCCATTTTAATTGCAGACTATTCCAGGACAGTGGAGCTGCGCATCTAAATGCTATTTTCCCTAAGACAGTCCTAGCAGTTGGCACATTTAATAAAACCACAGCATGCGATCTCAGGCAGTAGCCACTTACAATTCGCCGTGAGATCAGGGAGCAGATGTAGGATGGAAGTTTCCCTAACATGGCTTTATATATAAAAATGTACCAGTGACTGAGCCTCCGTACAGTTAGTGAAGGCAAACCAGCCCTTGCATACAGGGTACAGTGATGAGTTAATGCTTTACAGTTTGTCACAAATCTCAGTGCACTGTGATACGCAGCATCTAACTTGACCAGGCAATTGGCAGGTGCATTCATATAAATCAGATCACCATAGTCCAGCACAGGTCAAAAGGTCACAGTGACTAGCCTTTTTCTGGCCTCGAGCGAGAAACAGGACTTGTTCCTGTAGAAGAAACCTAGTCTAACCCTCAGTTTTTTAAGCAGGTTATTGACATGACGTTTAAAAGTGAGACAATCATCAAGCCAGATACCAAGGTATTTGTAACAGGCAACCACTTCAAGTTTTATTCCTTGCGTAGTTAAAATATCTAAAACAGGCTCTGGTATCACACACTGCTATCACCTTGGGGGAAAAGCTGTGATCCACTTCCAGGGCCTTGAAGAAGATCCCTCTCCACCGTGCCTTCATCATCCCAAAAGCCCTCTCCACAACCGATCGGGCTCTGGCATGGTGTCGGTTGAAGCGCGCCTCCACTCTACCCCTCAACGGTTCCCGGTACGGTGTGATGAGGTTAAGAGGTTCCCTCAGGCACGGGTAACCTCCATCCCCCACAATGTAATGGCCAGCTGGTGGGTAACAGCCCCTCACAAACACTGGACTGTTCCTGAGCACCCTGGTGTCGTGGACCGAACCAGGGTAGCCAACAAAAATGTCCAGGAATTTCATTTCATTTCATTTCACACCTTTATTTATCCAGGTTGTATCCCATTGAGATCATTGATCTCTTTTTCAAGGGAGACCTGCTCAAGTAGGTTCCACATGAAACATTAAAAACATAAACAGAACAACAAAAGGACATCATACAGTAGCATTACAGGGATTACAATTTACATACTATCCACATGCACAGGTACCAACAGCTTCCGATTCAGTAGCATCCAACCGAGCTTTAAAAACATTTAGTGGCACCAGATTGCTCAGTTTCCATTTTAATTGCAGACTATTCCAGGACAGTGGAGCTGCGCATCTAAATGCTATTTTCCCTAAGACAGTCCTAGCAGTTGGCACATTTAATAAAACCACAGCATGCGATCTCAGGCAGTAGCCACTTACAATTCGCCGTGAGATCAGGGAGCAGATGTAGGATGGAAGTTTCCCTAACATGGCTTTATATATAAAAATGTACCAGTGACTGAGCCTCCGTACAGTTAGTGAAGGCAAACCAGCCCTTGCATACAGGGTACAGTGATGAGTTAATGCTTTACAGTTTGTCACAAATCTCAGTGCACTGTGATACGCAGCATCTAACTTGACCAGGCAATTGGCAGGTGCATTCATATAAATCAGATCACCATAGTCCAGCACAGGTCAAAAGGTCACAGTGACTAGCCTTTTTCTGGCCTCGAGCGAGAAACAGGACTTGTTCCTGTAGAAGAAACCTAGTCTAACCCTCAGTTTTTTAAGCAGGTTATTGACATGACGTTTAAAAGTGAGACAATCATCAAGCCAGATACCAAGGTATTTGTAACAGGCAACCACTTCAAGTTTTATTCCTTGCGTAGTTAAAATATCTAAAACAGGCTCTGGTATCACACACTGCTATCACCTTGGGGGAAAAGCTGTGATCCACTTCCAGGGCCTTGAAGAAGATCCCTCTCCACCGTGCCTTCATCATCCCAAAAGCCCTCTCCACAACCGATCGGGCTCTGGCATGGTGTCGGTTGAAGCGCGCCTCCACTCTACCCCTCAACGGTTCCCGGTACGGTGTGATGAGGTTAAGAGGTTCCCTCAGGCACGGGTAACCTCCATCCCCCACAATGTAATGGCCAGCTGGTGGGTAACAGCCCCTCACAAACACTGGACTGTTCCTGAGCACCCTGGTGTCGTGGACCGAACCAGGGTAGCCAACAAAAATGTCCAGGAATTTCATTTCATTTCATTTCACACCTTTATTTATCCAGGTTGTATCCCATTGAGATCATTGATCTCTTTTTCAAGGGAGACCTGCTCAAGTAGGTTCCACATGAAACATTAAAAACATAAACAGAACAACAAAAGGACATCATACAGTAGCATTACAGGGATTACAATTTACATACTATCCACATGCACAG